GAGAACACCACTTTTGTGATACTCTTTGTGCAATGACTAAAGGAGGATAAATCCATGAGTGGCCTGCTACCCTCACACATTAAGCTCTGTTCCCTTACCAACGTCTGTCAACAAACAACATTTTCACATAGTTACAGTCACGATGTAGATGCAGCTTTGTAGTCTGTTAAGTCATTTAACATACTTCTCTGCCCCCAACCGCTTCTCTTCCCTCCTTATCCATCTGCTTTTATGCCGTCTTCCTCCTCCTTCCTTTCATCCCATATACCCTTGACCGCTTCCCTAGCTCTGATCTCTGGTTCATCCTGAGCCCTTTACCACATTAATTATTGTTTAACAGTGTAATGAGACGGTTCACTACACTCCTGAGCATCTGTTTCATTGATGAAATCAGTTTCATTTTCCTGCCTCAGTTCTTCCTGGCTTGATTGGCCCAAACAAACCTTGCTTACCTTCTCTCCTGTTAACTCATCTGAACTAGATCCTCTTTCCCCTAGGATCAGCTCATGCGGCATCTGCTCTGTGAAGCCAGCTTGTGTTTCCTGGGGGCCTCAGCTGACTTCTTGCAAGCACCATGGACCTTATACTATGGAACCTGCCTAATGGTTTCATAAATGGAGACCTGAAGTCACTCTTCTCTCCTTGTTTCACCTCCTTAGTTGCCAGATGCTCAAGAATGATAGTTGCAGAGGACCATGAGCAATGTCATGCCAAGTCTTGTTGACAGAGGAGTCATCAGTGGACAGACAGGTTCTTAGACTGAGGATGGAAAAGATTAGAGGTGAGGCTGTACTCCTTTGGAGGGCTTCCCAGCTGGTTCAGTGGTAAAGAACCTGCCTGCCAATGCAGGGAGACCCAGGTTTGATCCCTCTGTCAGGAAGATCCCCTGGAGGAGGAAATGGCAACCCACCCGTGTTCTTGCCTGGAGAGTGCCATGCACAGAGGAGCCTGGTGGGTACAGTGTGCGGGTTGCGGAGCTGGATGAGACTGAGTGTGCCTGCATGCATGCAGCTCTGAGCCCTAGAACTAGAGCCCTTGGGCCACCCTCCTCAGCAGCCATTCTGCTCTAGACTGTGACAAACTTTGGACTTTGGGTCAGTTTATTTGAGTTTTTCAGTTAAGAAATTTGGGCGATTATGAAGAAAGTAACATTTTCAAAGGGAGATCATTTTAAAATTATGAACCAAATCAAGAAACTTAATCAAAAATGTTGCATAGGTATTGATATGGAAACTTGCAGGGTTAGGGTTGATATAGAAAGTGTTTAAGCTGAGAGTCTTTGTTCAAAGATTGCCTTAGAAGTAGTCTCACCTCATCACGTGCTGGTTCCAAGCTTTTAGTATCTTCAGAGTGTCTGGTGTGTGCTTGGCTAAAGATTATAAGGAATATCCTCCAATAAAAGAGGTCAAGTTCCTGCCCAGCATCAGATGTGAGTTTGAGAAGCACAGACAGGCTTTCCCCAGTAAAATCAGCCTTTGAATTTCACACCTTACAGCTTACTGAGCATTCGCCCATGTTGACAGTTTACTTCTCAGACTTTCTGTCAATACAGATCGAAGGGTTAGAGCACAGTGGGTAAATTTGGAGAGCTGGGATCATTAGAAAAGAGGCTTTGGGGGTAAAATGTTTCTGAACACAAATGGCCACAGATGAGACTGAATCATGCCTTTCAGTCCACCTTGGACAGTATCTGTTTGAACTTGCTGCATTGGTAGGGTTATTAATATTTGCCCCCTTTCTCTCTCAGAAAGGTTTAGATGATAAATTATATGGTCACCTACTGAAAGCAAAATACCAATACAATACTTTGTGCCAGACACTGTACCAAACTCTGTATGTAATCCTCAACAAAACACCTGAGAGATAGCTGCTGTTGCCACTTTACAGGTGAAAGATGCTCAGAAAGGTTTAGTAACTTGACTGAGATCATGAAATGGCAGATCTTGTGAGTAAAGCAAGATCTATAAAACTTTTAAAGCCACTTAATTTTTCCTAGCCTACCACACTAAAGGTTTAACAGGTATGTCTTCTGTTAATTGGAGGAACTAGTGAAGGAGTTCTACAATGGTAGTGCAAGCCTTTATCTGAAAGAAACAGTGGGATGGAGAATGTCTGGATAAAGGTAAAGGTGATGTGTCAGTGAAAGTGCTGGTAGTAAAAGGAGAGGCATGCTGTACTGAGACGGCCAAGCTCCTGGATGGCTTGCAGCCATTTGTTCCTAAGTGACCTTTAATGGTCACTCATTTGAAAAGACCCTGATGCTGGGAAAGGTCGAGGGTGGGAGGAGAAGGGGACAACAGAGGATGAGATGGTTGGATGGCATCACCGACTCAGTGGATATGAGTTTGAGTCAACTCTGGGAGTTGGTGATGGACAGGGAGGCCTGGCATGCTGCGATTCATGGCGTCGCAAAGAGTTGGACATGACTAAGCAACTGAACTGAACTGACCTTTAATGGACCTGCTGCTCAGGACTGGAGTCTTTCTGCTTGGGTTTGGAAGTTTGTGGTAGTTGTATAGACCAGTGCTACTCAGACTTCTATGTGAATTAACGTAAACTGGGAATCTTATTAAGATGTAGTTCAGTTCCATAAGTCTTAGGTGGGGGCTGAGAGGCTGTATAACAAGATTCTGGTGATACTGATTTTGTTGGTCGGCCACGCTAGACTTTGGGTAGCAAGAGCATAGTTGATGGCTAGATTCTCTTTTCCTGTGGCATGGAGTCCCCATAAACACAAAGGCCCTGATTTTAGCCAGGGATGGGAGAAATGATTGCTTCTAGATGTGCTAACGGTGTGGTGGAAGGGACCATACAGAGTTTGTAAGGGGGAATGGGTACTTACATGTGGATGTTTTTAAAGGAAGCATTGTGTTTTTATAGCTATTATATATGGATTATTTTTAAAGTATATCATAAGCTTGGGGGAAGGGTGGACAGAGAAGCTGGTGGGGGAGTGGTCAGGGGTGGGGGCAGCACCAGCATGGGTGGGTTCTTGCTCAGCCTGTGCAGTGGTGAAGAGGTTTCGACGGACACAGGTTTGGAGCAGGCAGAGTATCTACAGCCAGACAGGAATAACGTGGATGGATGACACAGCAGCAAAGCTCTTTTAAAAAAAAAAAAAAACCCTCCAAGAGGAGGAGTCCCTCCCACAGACTGGCCGTTCTCCCCTTCTCGGCTGTGCCTGAGCGCCTGTGGACAGAAAGGGACACTCTGGAGGCTCTGGCCGGCTGTTCCTGTGGCTAACAGCAGTAGCTCCCACTCTGCCCACCTTGTACCCTGTCCGGGGTGGTCCCAGGTGGGCATGCTTCCTGTGTCTGGTTGCTCGTCGCTGTAGCATGGTTGGAGCGAGCAGGGTCCCTGGTCTCAGTGTGAGCAGCCTGCCTGCCATGCGGCTGGGACCCTCACTGTACCCTCCTTGCTAAGGACGAGGCCTTGTGACTGAAGGTCATGTTGGAAGAGACGCCTATAGGGGAGTACGTTGGCAGATGGGAAGTGGCAGAGGTCCCAGAGGCTCTGGGCAGAGCTGGACTTGGTGCTGGGGCTGTGACTGGTCATGGGAATAGGGCTGTGGTCCCAAGCAGCTCCCCTGCCTGGAGGGAGAGAGGGTCTGGGCAGCCAGAGGCACCGGGGCCCCTCCCATGGCCGGTGTGCTCTGGAGGAGCAGGGCCAGGGGCAGTGAGCTCCTAAACCTGGGGCTTCTGACAAAGCACATACTACCTCCGAGATCGCTTCTGCTGTTTTGGTCTGATCAGACTCTGTGAGGGGAGTGTTTCCTCGTCTGTGCCTGCAGTTGCAGGAGGGGGAGCTGGTCCTGCTATAGGATTGATGCCCACCCTTTTGGAGTGAGGGAACTTGGAAACAGGGATTATGTATCCTAGTCAGGGGACTTCCCTGGTGGCTCAGATGGTAAAGAATTTGCCCGCAATGCGGGAGACCTGGGTTCAATCCCTGGGTTGGGAAGATCCCCTAGAGTAGGGCATGGCAGCCCACTTCAGAATTCTTGCCTGGAGAATCCCCATGGACAGAGGAACCTGGCAGGCTACAGTTCATGGGGTCCCACAGAGTCGGACACAACTGAGCGACTGAGCACATCCTTGTCAGGACAGGTCTTACTCTGGCGTTTGGGTGGTCCAGTGACTCCCCCGCCCTCTGCCGAAACCGACCCCTTTCTTGGTGATCAGCTGCTGCTGACAAGCCTGGAGCACCAGGTGTCGTTCCCCAGGGTCCGAGCGAGCTGTGTTTTCTGAAGCCTGTCCCACCCCTGCCGGTAAACACTGCTGTGTCAGGGTAGGGCTCAGGGGCCACTTGGAGCACACAAATTTTTGCTAGCAGAATTGTGAAGCTTTGCATCGGGCTGCAAAACCAGGGCTTGAGCAAGCAGCTGGAGAGAGTCCAGGACTAGAGTGTTTTTGGGTTTGGGGGCGGAGAGCAGAGGGAGGGGAGGGAGGGGCAGGAGGGCAGAGCTGGCCGAGCAAGCAGCCTGAGCTTCGGCTCCGCTGTCAGCAGAGAGGACTTCAGTCGTGCCTCGGGCCGCTTGGCCACCATTGCTGGAGACCGGAGGGCGCTGCCTCGCAGCCAGACTTACCAGCACCGCACCCGGACTGTTCCCAGCGGCTGTTGTGCCGTCTCTTCCCTGGGAGGCAAGTCCCCTCCCTGCCGTCCCCTGCTCCTCCCCGCTCTCTGAGGGGTGATGCCGCTCTCCATTGCACGGCTCAGCCGGCTGATGTCACTGGCAGCGGGGAGCATCAGCAGCCTGATCACATGCTGGCCCAGTCTGTAATGCAGACGGGATAGGGGTGTGTGTGTGGGGAGGGGGCTGTATGGCAGCCGCTCCTGCTTTAACACCCCCAAAAGTGCAGAGGCAGTGGCTGCAGCATCTGGCCAGCTTGGATGTCTGGTCTTCGAGCCTGAGGAAACTATTCTTAATATTATTTATTGTTGATAATCCTGGGGAAACAGCCCTTAACTCTGGGCTTCTGGTGTTTTCCTGTCCAAAGCAGACTTCCAGGACTCAGAAGAAACAGTCACAAGCAGGATGCTTTTCCCCACCTCTGCGCAAGATTCTTCCCGTGGCCTCCCAGATGCAAATGACTTGTGCCTTGGCCTGCAGTCCCTGAGCCTCACAGGCTGGGACCGACCCTGGAGCACCCAGGACTCAGACTCCTCAACCCAGAGCAGCACACACTCGGGTGAGTGCCGGAAGATGAGCTGGCGGGGGGAGGGGGCGCATGGGGTGTGGAGCAAGGATATCCACAGCAACAGTTGTTCTCTTCCCCTTTGCATCCCCCACTGCCCCCCCCCCCCATACAACATGGAGCTGTTTTGCAAAAGATGGAAATGCTGGCTGTGAGTGTGGCAGGACAGATGGTGGCTCGTAAAGGCAGGCACCGCTTTCCCACTTACCCTGATAAATTCCCTGGAGTTGTTAGTCTGTACCTGAAGTGGCCCTGAGAAGGGTCCCCAAGGTGATAGCCTTATGCAGAAAAGATCCAGCGAACCCCCTAGTGCCCAGGCCTGCCTTGGAGATGATGAAGCAAAACACTTTTAGGCGGGGGAGGGGACTTTAGGGGCTGATGACTGGATGTCCAGATTCTATTTCCCAGGGGCTTTTAAAACTAGGGGGCTCTGTGTAAAAGACGGGTGGTCCCCGAATCATGGCGAGGGAAGAATTTTAGCCATAAGTGAGGCTGGGTAATCTTAGGGTATTGGAATTGGCTTCACATAAGACTGAGAGCATTGATCCTGGAAAAGGGGGTAGGCAGGGTGAGCCGGGTGGAGTAACTCTCAGCTATGGAGGCCTTTTTTCTTTCTTTTTTTCTTTGTGTTAAGGGTGACCAAGTAGATGAAGGAAGAGCCATTCCCCTTAGGGTCGCTTGTCATCCTGGAAGAATTCGATGGGGACAGATTGAAGGGGGCTTCTTGGCAACCCCTCTAACTGCTTCTGCTCAGACCTTCCCCACTGCCCATTAATTTCCCTCTCATGGTTCAAGGGGGTGGGTTGGCCAGACGCAAATCCTGGAGCATTCAGGAAGAAATATGAACTTAAGAAATAACTGTAACTATACATAAAAATCTTAAGTATTTTGCTTTATGTGAGTTACACCTTAATAAGGAGCATCTTGGCAGCAGATACTTTAAATGATGGAAAGCGAGGGTGGGGGCAGCCATTTACCATTGGTGCTGACAATGGGGTTCACGGAGCCTGCTGTCCCCCCACAACCACCTCCGCTCCAGAACCTGGCAGCAAGGTTCCTCTGGCCTCCACCCTGTTTGGCGCAAGTCTTTTTTTAGAATGCTTTGCAGAGCCTAGGACTGTTGTGTCTGTTGGCATTTCAGTGCCCAGTTGTTTTGGTAAATCCCATTTGATTGGGGGGATGGGGGGTAGAGGCTGGGTTTTTTTTTTTTTCTTCTCTCAGGTGAGGAAGAGCTTTACCTTAAGTAACTACCTCTGGGTTAAGGTAGAGTTTCTTGAAGTACTAGCCTTTAGCTGACTCAGGATTTTCCCTGGGCTTGGAAGTGTGGTGTCACTGTTTGGTGTCCCGTGCCTGGATATCTCGGCTTTAAGGCCGTGGTAGTTTGTTTCACGTTGGTACCCTGAAGCCGGCCAGGGGTGGGGGGCGTGTGAATCTGACCTTGTCCCCACCCTCACTGCTGACTGAGCAGAAGACCGAAGAGCCCACTGCACAGGAGGTGACCAGGGCACCGTCCTTCCCTGGTCTCACGTTGGGTGTGGTCCTTCCTTGGCTCTGGCTTCTCTTAGCTACAGGGGCCCTTCTGGAATGCATTATAGCACATAGAAATGCAGGAGAGGCCAACTTGGGGCTTGGAGAGGTTGGCCTGAAAGTCATTCTGAAATCAGACTGAAAAAAAAAAAAGCTTGTGTCCAGCCAGTTTCCTCGGCTTCCCCAGCAGCCCACCTGCCTGTGCTCGTAGCTCTGTCTCTAAAGTGGAGATGGATTTACTTCCCCACATCCCAAGCCCACTTTAGTTATAAATATTGTGTGATTTTCTGCATCAGAGAGATCCTATACTCTGTGTCCCTAGCATCCATGGGGAACTCAGGTTATCCCAGTGGTACAATTTAAATGGCCCTGGGGAGGGTTAATGTGGGTATATCTTCCTTTCCGAGGGCTGAGGACACACCCACCCATCCCTGATCCCCATGTTATCCTTGGACTTGGAAGGTGGGGTGATGGCCATCTCTCTTCTTTCCCTGAGCCCTGGGCCTTCTTGGAAAGCCCACAGGAGGGTACTGCCTTCTGGAGTGGGACGCAGCCCTCCCACCAGCCAGCTGCACCCTTGCCAGCGATGCGGGAACATGCAGCCCACATTCCAGTGCCTACACTGCCTTCTCATCTGAAGAGCAGCCAGCTCGGTTTCTCCAGGGAGGGAGGAGGCATTTCAGCAGCTCTGGACAATCGGGGAGTCGTCCTTGCAGACAGCCTGGTACCTTGCTGTTTCTGTGAGGAGCTCATGGTACAGGCTTCTTCCTTGGGCTCTGCTGGGTGATATATTGCCCCATGTGGCTGTTGGCTCACATCTGACCATTTTCTACAATTCTGAGGTTGAGCAGCATGTAGGGGGAAAGGTTGGAGGTAGCAGGGCTCTTGCCGGAGAAATCTTGGCTAAATTCATTCAACACATACTGAGCACTGGCTGTGTGCCAGGCACTGTGTTAGGCACTGAAGGTGCACCAGTGATAAAATTGTTTCCCTTAAAAATGCCCTTGATTGTTGAGGAGAAATAAATGGGATATATACTGAATACAACATGGCAGCTGCTCTGCTCAGGGGCTCCATTTTCTCCCCTAAGGAATTTTTTGGCATTGGGGCAACATTTCATTGGATTCTCCCATGGGGACCTGTCTCCGGGGGCTGGAGTCATTCTGCCTTGTGGGTTTCATTGGCCTGGGGGACCTGCAGGAAGACCCTGGGGTGGAATCTGTTTTTGAGCATTGTGCCTGCAAGGCCAGCATTGGTTGGGGTGTGGTGCTCTGTGAGGCACCTCCCTTCCAGACTGTGCCTACCCATGAGGCCTCAACTCAGGCTGGGAAGGAAGCCTTACTGCCCGTGAGGGCAAGATGAATGTTAGAAGTGACCCCAGTGGCATGTCCTCCTTGCACTGTCTTTAAGTCCTGTAATGGAACAGGAGGACCGTGAAGGCCCTGATCCTTAATGTCCTGGGATGGGGGAGAGTGACTAATCACCATTTAGCGACTATTTCCTATGTGAAGTGTGTCATGTGGCTTTAATGTTTTCACGGTCCTATAAAATGGGTAGTATTATTGTTCCCATCTCAAAGATGAGGAAGTAACGCTCACGGAGCTTGTGGAATGCCAAAAGTGACACAGCTCCCAGAATTTGAACCTGGGTTTCTTTGATCCCAAGCCGCTTGTGCTATCTCTCCTACCTGGCTCCTGTGGGCAGAGCCCAAACTCTTGAGCAGGAACACTCACAGTGGGTTGTCTCTGTGTACAACTCCAGGGCTGTTTGGCCACGAGGTCTTCTTTGCAGAGGTCCCCAAGGCCAGGGCACGAGGCAGATTGTTCTGACTCCCTCTTCACCCTGTGTCTCAGCCCGTCAGCTGTGCACCTGATGTGTTTGTTTCCCTGCCTTCCCCCAGTGACTCTTTTGCACGCAGCATTACTCAGCAGGAAGTGGGGTGACTGAGAACCTACTTCGGGGGACCTGGAAATAAGGGCTCCTAACGAATGCCTTGTGCAGAAGCCCAGTGGGCTGACCAGATGCTCAGTCTGAGGGTGCCAAAGGACACGTCCTGTTCCCATCCGCTCTCCTTAGAAGTCCTCGGGGATTAACCTGTTCACCCTCCTTGGTTTCTGTCCCGGCTGCTCACTAGTGAATAGCATGTTCCCTGTGCTGGAGAACTTGCAGGCTCCCTGCTGTCTGCAGGCCGATTGAGCCTGGGGTGAGAGGGGAGTCTTCAGCAATTTGTTCTTGCTGCTGCTCTGCTTCCAGATAACCTTTCTGAGGCAACATTCAAAACAGGGTTAGGTTCTTCCCTGTGGAACATGGCCTTCTGGGCCCAGCCAAGTTCTCCTCACATCTACCTTGACTGTCCAGTTCTTCACCGCTCTGTTCCTGGTAGGTAGCACAATGCCTGGTCCTGGTGATTTAGCAGGTATTTATTGAATGAATGATGAGTGCTAAGTTAATTCTGGGTAAGTTTGAACTGCAGAGTTCAGACAAGGTCCCTCTCTCTTCTGCCTCCTACTTGTGTTGATCATCCTGATGGACAGATGGTTCCAAACGATCAGTATCTCTGAGCCCCCACAGCTTTTAGAGCATGATGGTGCCCTTGCAGAAGGTTTCTGTCATGCTCTGGACCGTGAATTCTGCTGTGGGGTCAGGTAGTTTACTGAGGAGTAACTTTCAATGCAGAGAGGAGGGGGCCTGAGAAGCACTGACAACAGGACACCTCCCTGCAGAGAGGGGACTTGAGGAGTTTGGGTGCAGGGACCAGGTACTGCTGACCTTACCTGGTACTCAAGCAGGTCATTTCTTCAGGTGATGAAACTTGTCCAGTGACTAAGACGGGCAGAAAGGCTGTGTTGGGTACCACCTTGGAACTGTGGGGATCCAGAGTTGGTGGATGGAGTTCAGACTCACAAGAGCACCGGCTGAGCTGGGGTGTGATGTGGAATTTCAGGGTTGGGGTCACAGGAAAAGAGCATTCTGTTAGCTTTCTGTTATGTCTGCAATCCGTGCTGCTCTCCCCGCCTTTGTCCTGTGCATTCAGGTAGATTTTGAGCAGGCAGCCTAGAACCAAGGGTTGGTACAGGGAAGAAGGTTCCAGGTGTGTGGCCTTGTGTCCCAGACTAGGGATCTTCCCAGGTGGCTCAGTGGTAAAGTATCTTCCTGCCGATGCAGGAGACACGGGTTGCATTCCTGGGTCAGGAAGATTCCCTGGAGGAGGAAATGGCAACCCACTCTAGTATTCTTGCCTGGGAAATCCCGTGGACAGAGGAGCCTGGCAGGGTATAGTCCATGGAGTCACAAAGAGTCTAGACAGGACTGAATGACTAAAGAACATCATCATCATCTCAGGCTAGAGATAATGGCTCTGGGTCTGGGTGTCTCTCACGACTTCTCCCATTAGACAGGTGGCATGCAGCTGTGATGGGCTCTTCCGAGCTGAACTCAGGCTCAGTGTCTGACAGTGTGGACCCCTG